ATATAATTTAATAATTCAAAATAGTATCTTTTGGTATTGAAAAAATATTTTTGATACCGTATTACTATCCATAATTTATTTATAAAGAAAAAGCCAGTAAATTTACAGTTTTATCCATCTCTTTCAATTAAATAAAAACTAAAAAAAAATTTACAGAAAAACAAATCTTGCTTTATAATCAGCTTCGTGGTCAAAAATCAATACACCATGTAGATGTCTGTAAGAGTTTAAAAAAAAAAAAAAAATTTGTACAAGACAGGGAAAATGAAAAGGCCGGATTTGAAGGAGGCAGACAGAGAAGTATGGTAAAAACATGAACCTTCTTCTGCAAACTTTGAACATTTTTACTTGTAAAAGAATCCAAAACCTCAAGACTTCAAAACCACACAGTTCTTCAAAGTCAAAAAATATAAACTATATGTTATATTTATACAAATACATACACATATGTCAAGTCCGTATGTATAATATATACATTTTTTTTTAACTTCAAACCTAGAACCTGTTTTGGTCAAAAACCCAATCTCAAGTTTTCACATTCCTTGTCGGGGGCGGTGCTCTCTCTCTCTCTCTCTCTCTCTCTAGGCTGTGGTCATCATCTCATCATCCGTCAACTCCTCTGTTTGTCTGTGTTTTACAGAAGAAGCAACTGAAGAAACCACCCAATTGTAAATAAATAAATAAAATAAATAACAAACAGTTGTTACTTTTCTGTGAGATGGTGAAGAAATGAGAGTAAATTATAGAGGGATAAAAATAAAAGTAGGAAGAAAAACTGAGCTCCAAAGTCAAGGAGAGAGAAAAATAAAGAGGGTGGTGGTGGGTTTGTTTGTAAATGTAAAGAAATGTCACAAGATTCTGACGAGATAAAGACGATAGAGCAGTGGAGGTGGTCGGAAATGCAAGGTCTTGAACTTGTGTCTGCTCATTCAGAAACCTCTTTTAAAGGCAACCCATCACCAACACCTACAACAGAACCAACTACAACAACAGACACAGAAGCAAGAGAAGCCCAAGACGAGGAGAGAGAAGAATTGGGTGGAGAGAGTGAAAACAGAGGAGGAGAGAGAAAAGAGATGGACGTGTCTGATGGAAAGAAAGAAGGTGGTGAAGCAGAAAAGCCTGCTTCAGTGCCTCCCTCAGCTAAGTTTAGTGAGCTTTTCAGATTTGCAGATAAATTGGACTATGTTTTGATGGGAATCGGAACACTTGGTGCCTTTGTACATGGCTGTTCATTGCCTCTGTTTCTTCGATTTTTCGCTGATCTTGTTAATTCTTTTGGGGCTAATGCCAACAACATTGATAAGATGACACAAGAAGTTTTGAAGGTAAATACAATTCCAAAACTTTAGGCTCGTGAGGATATGCTGACAAGAAAAAGTAACTCTCTCTCTCTCTCTCTCTTGTGGTTTTGCAGTATGCATTTTACTTTCTTGTAGTGGGAGCTGCAATATGGGCATCTTCATGGGCAGGTGAGGTGAAAATAACATGTTTCATTTGGTTGGTGGTCTTAAAAGTTTTGTGATTGAATTGGTACCAACTTGAATGGTTTGCAGAGATATCTTGTTGGATGTGGACTGGAGAGAGGCAATCTACTAAAATGAGAATTAAGTATTTAGAAGCAGCTTTGAATCAAGATATTCAGTACTTTGACACACAGGTTCGAACATCGGATGTTGTTTTCGCCATTAACACTGATGCAGTGATGGTCCAAGACGCCATTAGCGAGAAGGTAAAGATAAAGATGAAGAAAGAAAAAGATCAATCTGCTTTGTTCTTCATGTTCTGATACTGTTTTTAAATTTTATTCAGTTGGGCAATTTCATACACTATATGGCAACATTTGTGTCTGGATTTGTGGTGGGTTTCACTGCTGTGTGGCAATTAGCTCTTGTCACTCTAGCTGTTGTTCCTGTCATAGCTGTAATTGGAGCCATCCACACCACCACATTAGCCAAGCTCTCTGCCAAGAGCCAGGAAGCGCTTTCAGAAGCCGGAAACATTGCAGAACAGGTGAGAGAAAGTGAAATTTTCAATATATGGTGAAATTTTTTCTTTTGGTTTGTTTGCTTGGGACTGACTGAATTGAAACTCAGCAAATTTTTTTTTCTGATTTTTGCATCTGGGTATTGCTAATTTTAAGCTGAATTGCAGACAGTAGTTCAAATTCGGATGGTTTCGGCGTTTGTTGGTGAATCAAGAGCATTACAAGCCTATTCTGCGGCATTGAAGATCGCTCAGAGGCTAGGTTACAAGAGTGGATTTGCCAAGGGATTGGGACTTGGGGCAACATACTTCACTGTTTTCTGTTGTTATGCCCTTCTGCTTTGGTATGGTGGTTATCTGGTTAGGCACCACTTCACCAATGGAGGACTCGCCATAGCCACCATGTTTGCTGTTATGATAGGTGGCCTGTAAGTACTCTTCCACATATATCCTACATTGTATGTATAAATGGCGGGCTGCCTAGTGTACGAGACATCCGACACTGCAGTGTGCAAAGAGAGTGTTTGCGCTACTGAAAAGTCACAATGAAATAAGCTTATGGATGCACTAAGGCCGCCCTCTCATTCATTGTACATCTCGAATTGAAATTCGTGCTTAAATGTTATTTTTGATTGACAGGGCTTTAGGACAATCTGCCCCAAGTATGACTGCATTTGCAAAGGCCAGAGTTGCAGCTGCCAGAATCTTCCGTATAATCGATCACAGACCAGATGTTGATAGAAACAGTGAATTGGGTTTGGAATTAGACTCTGTTACAGGACAAGTAGAGCTAAAAAATGTAGGTTTCTCCTACCCATCAAGGCCAGAAATCCAAGTACTTCAAAATTTCTCCTTCAGTGTCCCAGCCGGAAAGACCATAGCTCTGGTCGGAAGCAGTGGTTCCGGCAAGAGCACTGTAGTTTCGCTCATCGAGAGATTTTACGATCCCAATTCAGGTAATTCTATACAATTGTTTCACAATAATTGCCCTGTGTTTTCTGCATATAATTGCTTTACTGATTTTATATAAACAACTTTAATGTTCTTCTGCCAGTTGGATTTATTTCTGGTTCTGAGTTCATGTAGTCCAAGTGTCTGAAGAAATGTGTGAATGAATAAAATCCCTGTTAATAAATAGTAGCGGTGCAGGACAAGTTCTACTGGATGGGCATGATATAAAGGCATTAAAGCTGAGGTGGCTGAGGCAGCGAATTGGGCTTGTGAGCCAAGAACCAGCTCTGTTTGCAACCACCATTAAAGAAAATATACTCTTAGGTCGGCCTGACGCAAGTCTAGTTGAGGTAGAAGAAGCTGCTAGAGTTGCCAATGCCCATTCATTCATTGTCAAACTTCCTGATGGCTATGATACTCAGGTTAGATTGTATATGGCATTTACTTGAGATTATCTGTTAATTATACTCCATTTAGTGATCTAATCCATAACAAGATCAACTTATCATCCCTTATGAAACTGGGTAATGACAGCCTTTACATGCAGGAAAAAAATGTGAATCGTACAAAAAAAAAACCATTCTTAGTGTTGTTCCTACTACCTATGCTGGTGTTGGGTTAGGAAGGGTGGATTTGATATAGACCTAACATTGACATTATTTGAACTCAAAGTGCCTTGAGCTTGTTTTCTCAGGCTTAATCGCTTGAGCTTTGATTATTGCATCTACCAATGCCCCTTGTAATTGTTTGGATGCACTCTACTATTATAAAATGGTGGCTTTAGTCAGTCGATGCTCCAGCAGGAGGGATTGTTGGTTGGTTTAGTAAAACTTTAGACTTTTTATGGCCGTTGTTAGCTAGTGTATTATATGAAGGACTGAATGGCGTATTTGGTCAACAAACAAACCTAGCATTTTTTATAGTCAATGCAGGGGAGATGTTTGGTCATGCTTTTAAAAAAAAGCTAACATGGTTTCAGTCAACACTGCATGTGCAGATATAAATAGAATCTTGCAGGAGCAAAGACTTATGAACATAGCAGGATGGGGGAGGAAGACCAGGAGAGAGAGAGAGCAGTGTTAGAAACAATAGAAAATGAAGAGCATGTAGGGCTCATTCAAACTGTAATAATGAGAATGAACCCCCCCCCCCCCTAAAAAAAAAAAACCAAAAAAAAAGAGTACTTGAGATTTGATGGGCCTCACATTAGGCAGAGGAGGACTCTCATATTAACATAGAGGATCAAACACATAATACTGAATTAAAATTCAATCTCCAACCAAAGTAATTTTGTGAAAGAGGTAGATCTCCTCCTTGTAGCGTATTTCAAACCGAAGTATGATATATTTTTTGTTAAGCCTCGAGCTTTTAACAACCATCTTGGCTGAGTAGAGAACAATTCATGCATTGTTTGCCTGCCAAGTAATCTTTCAAAGGAAAAAAAAAACTTGGGTTTTTGTTTCAGGCCAACTATTTTATAAGAATTCAAATTTTCATTCCCTTTCCAGTGTTTTCTACAGAATCATACACTGTGAGTGGATTTTTTTGGAGAAACCACTTGTTAGAGATACAAATGTAGAAAACCAGAGAAGTGAAATACTTCTTTTAAATGGCAGGTAGGGGAGCGAGGATTGCAACTCTCAGGTGGACAGAAGCAAAGAATAGCTATAGCAAGAGCAATGCTGAAAAACCCAGCAATTTTGCTTTTAGATGAAGCAACAAGTGCATTAGATTCTGAATCAGAAAAGCTAGTACAGGAGGCACTTGATCGCTTCATGATTGGGAGGACAACTCTTGTCATTGCTCACCGCCTCTCCACTATCCAGAAGGCAGATCTTGTTGCTGTGCTGCAGCAGGGTAGCGTCTCTGAAATTGGAATGCACGAGGAGCTCATGAGAAAAGGAGACAATGGTGTCTATGCCAAGCTTATACGAATGCAGGAAATGGCCCATGAAACTGCTCTTAATAATGCCAGAAAGAGCAGTGCAAGGTAGCTTTTTAGACCTTAGAAACATCCAATTTGAAACATAATATTAAAGTCGGTTTTCCTTAAAAATCATAAAATGCTGAGTAGGTAGAGGTATCTAGTCAGCTGACAATTTGTTGCCAATATGGTTCTACCTTTGCAGACCTTCTAGTGCAAGGAACTCAGTAAGCTCACCAATAATTGCCCGAAACTCCTCCTATGGCCGATCACCATTCTCACGCCGGCTATCTGACTTCTCTACTTCTGACTTCAGTCTCTCCCTGGATGCTGCATACCCCAATTATCGGCATGAAAAACTTGCATTCAAGGAGCAAGCCAGTTCCTTCTGGCGCCTTGCAAAAATGAACTCTCCTGAATGGGCCTATGCTTTAGTTGGCTCCATTGGCTCCATTGTTTGTGGCTCTCTTAGTGCCTTCTTTGCATATGTCCTGAGTGCTGTCCTTAGTGTCTACTACAACCCAAACCATGGTTACATGAGCAGAGAGATTGCAAAATACTGCTACCTTCTAATTGGTGTTTCATCAGCTGCACTTATTTTCAACACACTGCAGCATTTCTTCTGGGATGTTGTGGGAGAAAATTTAACGAAACGGGTGAGAGAGAAAATGCTGGCAGCAATTATGAAAAATGAAATGGCATGGTTTGATCAGGAGGAAAATGAAAGTTCTAGGATTGCAGCTCGGTTGGCTCTTGATGCCAACAATGTGAGGTCTGCTATTGGGGACCGCATCTCAGTGATCATGCAGAACTCAGCTCTCATGCTAGTAGCCTGCACGGCAGGGTTTGTTTTGCAGTGGCGCCTAGCCCTTGTCCTCGTTGCTGTCTTCCCTGTGGTTGTCGCGGCCACTGTTTTGCAGGTTTGTTTTCCTACAACCAAGTCCTAAGAATGTGCATGTCGAGAAATCATTAGGAAACCAGCGCCAAACTACTATGGAAAAAATCATAAAACGAATAATTATATCCCTTTTCCTCGGTATGCAATTGCAATTATGCGTTGTAAGAACACAATACTGATGGGATTTGTTGCAATTTCAACAGAAAATGTTCATGACAGGATTCTCAGGAGACCTAGAAGCTGCACATGCCAAAGGAACACTACTAGCAGGGGAAGCTGTGGCAAATGTAAGAACAGTTGCTGCCTTCAACTCAGAATCCCAAATTGTCAGCCTATTCACCTCCAACCTACAAATTCCACTGCGACGTTGCTTCTGGAAGGGACAGATTGCTGGAATTGGATACGGGGTAGCCCAGTTCTTACTCTATGCTTCCTATGCCCTTGGTCTTTGGTATGCATCCTGGCTCGTGAAACATGGGATTTCAGACTTCTCTAAGACAATCCGTGTCTTCATGGTCCTCATGGTGTCCGCCAATGGTGCAGCTGAAACACTGACCCTAGCCCCTGAGTTCATAAAGGGTGGCCGAGCAATGCGGTCAGTGTTTGACCTCCTTGACAGAAAAACTGAAATTGATCCTGATGATCCAGATGCTACCCCTGTTCCTGATTGCCTTCGTGGGGAAGTGGAATTCAAGCATGTAGATTTTTCTTATCCCTCTCGTCCAGATGTGCCAATCTTCCGTGACCTCACTCTTCGTGCCCGAGCTGGAAAAACTCTTGCCCTCGTCGGTCCTAGTGGGTGTGGTAAGAGTTCAACCATTGCACTAATACAACGATTCTACGAGCCATCATCTGGAAGAGTAATGATTGATGGGAAAGACATCCGAAAATACAACCTGAAGTCTCTGAGGCACCACATTGCATTGGTGCCCCAGGAGCCATGCCTCTTTGCTACAACCATATATGAAAACATTGCTTATGGGCATGAATCAACAACTGAAGCTGAGATAATTGAAGCAGCAACTCTGGCAAACGCGCACAAGTTCATATCATCATTTCCCGATGGGTACAAAACTTTTGTAGGGGAGAGGGGAGTTCAACTGTCCGGAGGACAGAAGCAAAGAATCGCCCTTGCTCGGGCTTTTATACGAAAGGCAGAGCTAATGCTACTAGATGAAGCTACAAGTGCACTTGATGCAGAGTCGGAAAGGTCTGTACAAGAGGCTCTGGAGCGTGCTTGCTCCGGAAAGACCACAATTGTGGTGGCACACCGGCTATCAACAATAAGAAATGCCCATGTCATTGCTGTGATAGACGACGGGAAAGTAGCAGAACAAGGTTCCCACTCACATATACTGAAAAACTACCCGGATGGGTGTTATGCGCGTATGATACAGTTACAAAGGTTCACACATGGACAGGCCCTGAACATGGCATCAGCTTCAAGTTCTTTGGTACGCCCCAGAGAAGATGACGAGAGAGAAGCCCAGTGAGCTGAAAAGAGAATACAACTAGAAAGGAGTATATTTTCTTATACCCCTCACTGATTTTTTAGTTTCTCGTTTTTGTTTTTCATTTTGGTATAGTATATGTGTTATCTATGTTTACCATAGTATATGCTCTTATTTTCATTGATCTCTGTTGATGATCCCAGTAAACTAGTAGTCTATATGTTTGTTCAAATTACCAAGATGTAAATTTCGTTTCGAAATGCCAAAACATTATCGTTTTCATGGGCTCGCATGCACACAAAAAAAATCATGAAGCAATGAGTCTAATTCCAGTGACTTGCCCCAAAACTAAAAGTAACGAGGCTAATGTCTAGGAGTTTTCACCATACCCTATGTGTTGGAAATATGGTCTTTTATTTTTCTATCCGATATTTTGTGGAAAAAAAAATTTATTGGCTTATCTTATCCGATCAAGTGTAATATTTCTATCCGACTTTTAACCAAATTAATCGGGTAGAAAATTAGGGGAATGCTTTTGTAATTATTAATTTTTGAATTATTTTAACAATTTAATTAAATAACATTTACTAATTTATCACCACAAAAAATCAAAAACACTAAAAAGTAAAATAATTACAACAACAATTACAATAAAGAAAATATAAGCATCAATCTATTATAATTGTTGCACAAATACAAAAACAATTATTTTAAATTTAAACCATATGGTTAGAGAATTAGGATTTTTAGTTTATATGGGTATGATAAGAATATGAAAATTAATGGTTATTCTGTATTCCTACCAGATTTAATCGAAAGACTAAACTCTTTCGCATTCTTATCCGATTTTTTTAGCTATCCGTTCAATAAGGTCGGATAAAGTTGGGTAAAATAGAAAATTGCAGTTAATCTAAAATTTGACCGTTCAATAAGGTCGGATAAAGTCGGGTAAAATAAGAAATTGCGGTTAATCTAAAATTTGAACACCTCTGGCCCATAGATCCTGGTCCAAATATATAGGATTTCCGACAAGATTATACATCACAATCTATGAATAAACTTTTCAATTTGACATGTCTGGCTATCTTCGACGTTTAAGAGGATAGTGATCAGAAATAGCGTGGTGGGGTTTGGTTGGGGTGGGGGGGTATGTTGGGGGTTTGAGTTGAGCATTATTGACTTGGGTTCACGTGGTGGCTGCACATGAGAGTGGCCAGATGGTAAATCAAGAAAGAGGACTGGACAAGGGAGCTATCATACACCTTTAATGAGTACATGGTGGTACACCTTTCTGAGTGTTTTGGGTTAAGATCAAGATAACAAATGGTGTGGAGGCGCATGAGGAAAAGAGGATATGGAATTAGAAAATGACAGGTGCATGATGCTACCTTGTATGGGTAGGTAGGCCCTACCTAATGTCTTTGTTGCTAAGAATTAAAAGGGTGTTGGTGACCACTAGGGTCTTAACCCAACCAGCGACCCGGCCCAAAATCAATACAAAATTAACCAGAATGGAGTTAATTTTAACGAGTTCAAATCATAAAAAGCCTGATCCGTCAAACCCTTTTGACAAGTAAGTTAACACAAACCCGGCAAAACATAAATTGTGCAAGACAAATTGCTTTGAAGTGGTTGGTTCTCAAGGACGACTCACTCTAAAACCAGTATAAATGCTAAAAATGACCAAGTAATAACCAGCATAGCATCAATGCTAAAAATGACAACCTTCAGTCAGCCAGACCATGGCATAAAAGAGAAAATTCCATTTACAATAGTCTGAATTATGAGTCAGAAATATGTAACAGTTCACTTATCATCGAACACCATTAATATTGAAATATGTCACCTTTGATCAATATGCTTAAGCGGCATTTACTTTTGGTTTCAGATGCTGCCCTCAACAAAATGGTGCACTCTGCATAATGTTCCTTACAAATACAACAATACTATGTCGACAATACACAGTCTCCTCAAACATCATGAATCCTTCCGGATTGATAGTAAATTAAGACTAGACATGCAATAATCAACATGGCCTTGAACTGGTGGGATTATTTATGTTTAGTTTTGCAAGGTTCTTGAACAAAGACAACTGCATAATGTATATCTAACTCAAACTTTAAGCGGCAATGTCTTGCATAGCAAGTTTACGAGATAGAACCAACTCACGAGGGGAGACTGAACTTGCTTATTCATGGAAGGGATTCAATACAACAAGATACTCCCATTGCAGTCAAAAGTTTAGGACATAAAATCAACAATGCAGTATCATATGACGTAACATGTATAAGATGAACACTGATAAACATATAAGTTAAGTTGTGTCCATGTACATATAAGCCATCTTTAACTAAAGGTGGCTACCAAAGGCACACAGTTCAAAGACGTTGACCATAATATGTTGATGGTAGAGGGGCAAAAAAGATGCCAAGTAGAGTGTTTTTGCAACAAAAACCTACAAACTAGCTAGAGTGAAAATTTGCAAAGTTACCACAGCCCAAAAAGAGTAAAGAACAATACGACGTAGATTGTTTTGTGGTTTAGATATCAGCAAATTGGTAGTGAAGCACAGATGATTTGAGAATTGTTACACGCTAAAACCAGGGTAGGAATCCTCTGTAACCTGATTACACAGAAACTGAGGAATTTTATAGTTATACTATTCTGAAGAACACTGCGCTTAATGCATAGCAGATCAGCACATCAGCAGACCAACCAAACTACCGACTCGGAACAACCTTTACCGACACAATACTTACTTTCACAAGATAACATCTGACCAGAACAGTGGTTGTGAAAAACGGATAGTTCTTACATTTCCAAATTACAAACTTTTCAGGTATCAAAAGAGTGTTCTGCAGCTCCGCTAACGAAATTAATAGAACTAAAAATGGGGAGCTCACATTGACATTAGCTTTGGGCCGTTATCTGGCATACCCATTCCAGCAGCTAGGTCAGCATCAAGTTGGGTATGTGGTGCAGGCCCCATCATTTGCTTCACACTGCAATCAACAATATTATTTTTCAAGTGAATACCAACTGAATTTATTCATAAAGAACAGTAGGTAAATAGGTATCCATCTACAGTTGTTCAAATAAGAAGGTGAAGATAATATATTGCCCACATGGAGCCTTGGACGCAGTGAACCAAATATGCACAAATCCAGCTCTTACTTAACAAGCTGAACAGTGAACAAAATTTTGCTGATAAAAAACCATGAACATTTAAAGAATAAAACATTGAATATGAAACGGATTAACATATAAAATCACAACCTTTTACATGGAAAAATCTAGGCCATGCCACATATAAAATTATCACCGTAGAAAGATCAAGTTTGCACAACAGTGCAAGAGCTTTTTGGCACAATTAGCCAAGGAGATTACCAAAATCCATTAATAATTAGTATTCATCCCATCTGAACTACAATGGAGAACGAGTATTTGCCAAGTGCCTGACCCTTTAACCATCAGAGCTTCTGCAAAAGATCTTTTCATTACCTCTACCATTACCACCACATTCAATGTTACTAGTATTACTGACCCCATAAGTAGTCATCGAAGAAGCAAGAGCAGCTTATTTGGGTAATAATGACTC